AAACCTATCTCGTTCGGCAAGGGTGGTAACTGGACTTTTACAGCCTCGGGAAGATGCTGAAAGTAGCACGTTTTTATCCGTTGTATATTTCTTGCCAAGAAACCCACCCATTAAATGATAGATAATATTCCTTGTCCTAATTCATATCCCACCTTATAAATCCATAAAACACCTTTGCCTCGGGAAGATGTTGAAAGTAACATGTTTTTATCCGTTGGCTTTTTTCTTGCCATGAAACCTGCCCATTTTATGATAGGTAATATTCCTTGTCCTATCACACTCAAGGCAGAAAAAGATTATTGCGTCTTGTTAATATATAACACAGAGTAAAGTTAAATTAAAGATAGTGGCTCACGAATAGGAAGATGACACTGACTGAAATGAGAAAGAAGGATCTTTGCTGGAGGTAATTACTGCACCTTTCTCACATTATCTCATGTGTCTCAGGTCGGTAGTGGGCCACGTGGTGTACATTCATTTACTGCAGACACAGGACGTGTCCGCAGGACTTTGTGTTTCACGTTCACTTGATGCAAACATTCATATATAATTGTCTCCAGTAAGATGGACAAGTGTGTACAGTGGTATGGAAAGATAAAGGTCAAACACAATACTTGTACATCACACGGATTAATGTTTACAGGCAGCTTTTATGAGCTAATCCAAATCGCCTGAGCAGTACGTTCCTGGCTTCCTTCTGATTAATCGCACTGTCAACACAATCATACACAGCATTGGCATTTACGAATTCATGATGTAATGGATTGGTGGTAACATGGCTTGGTTTTTTCATACAGCTAGGGAAGCCTTGAAGAATGAGCTAACATGTTGTTGTCAGTTCTCATTACACGTGTGCACAGGTAAACGTGGAAGCGACACCCTTACTCAACTGTGTGACATCTTTTGCTCAGGCTTGTGTTGCGTGCGCACAATGTTCCTACACAACAGCATATTTGTTGTCGCAGTGTTCTTAACCAAATTGTGTATAATTTCGTGCCTATTCTCCCTTCAAAAGAAAACCCCGAAGACACGCTTATCGGTATGTCACATTTCTCGTTTTCAACTATTATGTTTATTGCTCGAGAGGGTGAGTTTTACATACACTACCATGTCGCTTTTCGAACCGGAAGTCATGTATATACATGTACCGGTGTCCATTTAACACCATGTGGAATCGTAATGTACGTATTGGGGCCTAAAGACATATTTACGATGGCATGATTTCTACACACACAACGTGAGTCACTGGTATGAAAATATATATATAAATGTGCAGACACAAACATAAAGATGATGTTCATTCCAACATATCTCCTCACACAAGTAAACTGTCGATTGTATTACAGCCTCGTGACCAATTAAACGAGTGAACTATCCTGGATTTTGTCCTGGATTGGTAACGGCCTTCGCCGCCTTCGGTACTCCGTCGTTATCGACCTTTCGTAAACTAATCCATGTCCACGAACCAGGGAATACTAAAGAATGGTTATTTTATTGGATGTTTATTGAGTATGTTGTGTTATATGTGTGACCGCCCTTTGCCCTTTTCTCTGGGTACGCGAACAAAAGTTTCCTGACAAAACAGATCTTGTGCGCCAAATAAGGGAGACTACTGCAAATACCAATCCACTTCTAATACCATATACTTTGTATGTTGTAGTGCGTACAACAACAAAACAGCAATACATATCTTGTTTTTGTGATGTGTATATGCCCTGAAGACAGTGTCAAAGATTATGTACACAAGTCGCAATGGAACAAACATAAATTGAGCAGGACACCTTTAATTCGATCGACTCTCTTTGATGATGATTGGCATTTCATTATGACAAAGTGTTATATTTAATCGAGTGTACTCTTAACTGTATATCGATTCCTCGTGGTGTACGCGATGCCTGGAATGATCGTGTCTTTATGCTACACTGTGTGTGTTTGTTGTCTTAACGCGGCACCAAGAAACATTCCATCTGTAAATAGTCGAGTCTGGAGCAGATATATATAGTGATCGATATTGTGAGCAAGATCCGCGCCGTCGGGGTACGACGACATGGAATCAATCAAGTCAATGAGCCTGTCCACCCGAACCATTTGGTTGCCTCTTACGACCAGCATATGTTACTGAGGACCTTTTCAGAAAGAGAATCTCCACGGTGGCTACACTATGAGCTGTCTTGGTTACGTATAAAGGACCAGCTGGTCATCTCTGTACAATTATGTTCAAAGTCCCGGAACTGGTATGTGTAAATGGATTGCAAACACAAATTGTCCGTTACATTTTCAGTGAATCATTTGATAGCTTCTCTTTGTTTGTTGGTTTGCTGCTTACCGCCGCACTCAGCAATGTTGTAGCTATATGACGACGGCCAGTAAATAATCGTGTCTGGACAAGTCAGTCCAGTGATTGATATTGTGAGCAAGATCCACGCCGTCGCAATCAACCAAGTCACCGAGCTTGAACACCCAATCCCTTTGGTCGCCTTTTACGACCAGCATAGCTTGCTCGGGACCTATTCTAACCGGGGATCCTCACGGAGCACTGTGCTTGTTTACAATACTGGGTAGAAAACACATAATCGCAGAAGGTTAATTCTTTTCCGTGCCCTCCGGCCAGGACGTATAGAATTAAGAGAATTGTTTTCGTCACAAATTACATTATCTTTGCAAATACACCAAGGTCAATAGGAATGAAACACGAACGTCGAAACTTACAACTAATCAAGGGTATCAAACGTCTACCGACCGAAATCAAAGACTACAATGTTTATGTTGTTCTGATTGCAGGTGGCACATGTCTTTGATCTTCAGTAAGGAAGCTGGCACTGGAGACACATGAACTAAATCTACTTGCTTCAGTGTATGTCTTTATATAACTAGAAACAAGTACGATTAAATGACACTTCCAGATCTGTAAAGTTCATATTTCATTATACAAACTGGATGGTAGATTAGACATGGACTCAAATGAAATTAACGACAATGAAATACTTGTATTCAGGAAAAAGTATTATGCATAATTATTCGTGTGTATCCAGTGCTACGTATTATGTATAATTGTTCATCTGTATCCAGTGCCACGTATTATGTATAATTGTTCATCTGTATCCAGTGCTACGTATTATGTATAATTGTTCATCTGTATCCAGTGCTACCTATTATGTATAATTGTTCATCTGTATCCAGTGCTACGTGTTATGCATAATTGTTCATCTGTATTCATTGATGCGTCTTATGTATAATTGATCATCGATTTTCAATGATACATATTATGTATAATTGTTCATCTGTATCCAGTGCTACGTTTTATGTATAATTGTTCATCTGTATCCAGTACTACGTATTATGTATAATTGTTCATCTGTATCCAGTGCTACGTTTTATGTATAATTGTTCATCTGTATCCAGTGCTACGTGTTATGCATAATTGTTCATCTGTATTCATTGATGCGTCTTATGTATAATCGGTCATCGATTTTCAATGATACATATTATGTATAATTATCCATCTGTATTCAGTGATACGCACTATGATAATGATTCACCAATACTTTTCAACATCTGAAAAACCAGTGATTCATATTTTAAGCAAGGTCCAACGCCGGATGATACGTGTCGTGTGGCTGGAATTTTCACGGTCAATCACGGTATATTATATTAATTTGGAAACTCAAACTTCAAGTTGACAATATATTTTGTTTAATAATCCAATCATTAAACAAACAGCTGTCAGTTGGCCGCCTGAGCACGTTACAAGATACATCATTGACGTCATCCCACTACCCTGTCCACATTCTACAATTGATAGTTATGTAGTTCTATTTCAACACAATGAAGTGATATCAATTTCCTTCACAGTGAAGTGAAATAATCAATTACCTTCAACATGAAGTGGCATATGAATGTGATATCATCAGTTTCCTACACATGGATGTAATATCAACAATTACTAACACGATGAAGTGATATCATCAATTACCAACACCATGAAGTAATATCATCAATTACGAACAGCATGAAGTGTTATCATCAATAACCAACAGCATGAAGTGATATCGTCAGTTTCCTACACATGGATGTAATATCAACAATTACTAATACGTTGAAGGGATAAAATCAGTTACCAACACCATGAAGTGATATCATCTGTTTCCTACACTTGGATGTTATATCAACAATTACTAACACGATGAAGTGATATCATCTACTACCAACACCATGAATGGATATCATCAGTTTCCTACACGTGGATGTAATATCAACAATTACTAACACGATGAAGTGATATCATCAACTACCAATACCATGGAGTAATATCATCAGTTTCCTACACATGGATGTAATATCAACAATTACTAACACGATGAAGTGATATCATCAACTACCAATACCATGGAGTAATATCATCAGTTTCCTACACATGGATGTAATATCAACAATTACTAACACGACGAAGTGATATCATCAACTACCAACACCATGAATGGATATCATCAGTTTCCTACACGTGGATGTAATATCAACAATTACTAACACGATGAAGTGATATCATCAACTACCAATACCATGGAGTAATATCATCAGTTTCATACACATGGATGTAATATCAACAATTACTAACACGACGAAGTGATATCATCAACTACCACTACCATGAAGGGATATCATCAGTTCCATACACATGGATGCAATATCAACAAATACTAATACGATGAAGTGATATCATGAAATACCAACACCATGAAGGGATATCGTCAATTTCCAGCATCTCAAAGGGATATAATCAATTTACGACTGATTATGAATAATGTCAACTATAACAAACACGCCGTTGCTAACAAAGCTATGCGCCATCTGAAGGAAGCTCAATGCAACTGCATGTACACAGTGACAGATGCCAATGGATTGGTCTGTGAGAGCAATGACGTGCACGTCGATATGCAACCAACACAAAGTTCTATCCCGACATATAACTGGCCCATCCTTGTAGAATCGATAGTGCCCGGATGTAGCCAGGGAACTCACGTTTGACACTTAACACTGGTGAACCTCCAAGTCTACTTTTAACGCGACGCTGTGGTTCACGGAGAATTCTGGTGATCTTGGTCGCTTGTCAGTGGTATATTGAGTACTGTTTTCAATCTATAGGCTTTACATACTATTCGTGAAAGTGTAAAACGGTCCCGGTCTGGATTATTGAATATTTAAAAGGAAACATTAGGAAACTGTCTTTAGAGGAGAAACCAAAAGATTTTTTCATGAAAAGTATGTGGAATCGTGATAACCAATCTCCAAGGAACTGTAGAAGACTGGATTACAAGCACGTGTGCCTCTGAGTATTATTCTAAAAGATTGGAATTACCAACAAAAGCATAGATTTGAAATTACCCTGAAGAACGCAATCCTTTCGTTTTGAACACCTTTAAAGTAAGTACAAGTGAGCCATCCAATCATCCAATATAGTACATGTGTATCAAACATTTTATTTTGCATGTTCATGTTAAATTATATTTGTATCAAAAGGAACCAAGGAACTGTAGAAGACTGGATTACAAGCACGTGTGCCTCTGAGTATTATTCTAAAAGATTGGAATTACGAACAAAAGCATAGATTTGAAATTACCCTGAAGAACGCAATCCTTTCGTTTTGAACACCTTTAAAGTAAGTACAAGTGAGCCATCCAATCATCCAATATAGTACATGTGTATCAAACATTTTATTTTGCATGTTCATGTTAAATTATATTTGTATCAAAACTCGAATATGATTCAACAGTATCGCGAATACAACATTCATTTTCAAAATATTCTAAAAAACAAGAAATATGTTACTTTGCATTCAGACCTTCGATACAACGATGTCTACTTAGTGTAAGTACTTAATAGCATTGCAAAACCAGTCGGAATGCGAACCAAAATCTGTAAGGTTGCAAAATGAAATGCGAAGCATGTAAATCGTCTGGAGGTTTCACTGGGTATCAATACTTTCCTGTAGTAAAATCTCTGTCCGACATTTGAATTTAACGTTGAATCGGTTCTATTCTACATGCGTTGATCATATTTATTAGAACAGCTTTTGATTGTCGGCGTTGTACTATCCAGTCAGTTCAGTTGTCATGTGACGTCACTCACTGTGTCATGAAAGTATAGCATGTTTGAATACTCGAAGGGATTTCAACACGCTGGAAGCAAATGTAGCACTTCCCTCGCATTATCTCCTACTAAGCGTTGCTATTGTAGTGCTTCCCTTGCGTTAGTTACAACTAAGCGTTGCTGTTTTAGTGCCTGCCTTGCGTTATTTACAACCAAGCGTTGGTGTTTAAGTGCTTCCCTTGCGTTATTTGCAACCAAGCGTTGCTGTTTTAGTGCCTGCCTTGCGTAATTTACAACCAAGCGTTGCTGTTTTAGTGCTTCCCTTGCGTTAGTTACAACAAAAGCGCTGCTCTTTTAGTGTTTCTTTGCGTTAGTTACATCCAAGCGTTGCTCTTTTAGTGGTTCTTATGTGTTAGTTGCAACCAAGTGTTACTACTACAGTGCTTCTCTTGCATCAGCTAAAAGGAAGCCTTGTTATTTTAGTGCTTTCTTTGCATAAGTCACAACCAAGCGTTGCTCTTTTAGTGCTTCTCTTGCATTAGTTACAACCAAGCGTTTCTATTCTAGTGCTTCCTTTGCATTAGCTTCTACCAAACATTGCTCTATTAGTGCTTCCATATCAGTAGTTACAACCAAGAGTAGCTTTTCCAGTGCTTCCCTTGCATTTGTTCATACCAAGCTTTGGTGGTTTATTGATAGGACCCCTATATAAGTTAATGTCGCTTCTCAGTTCACACATTTCAAATTTAATCAAATTCGTTATTTATATTATATTTAAATTCCTTTTTTTTTCAATTGTGCCGCCGTTCTTTTCCACTGGTTTACCCACGTGACCTAGAAATAAAAGAGACCGGTTAAACCGCCTCATCTGAATTATATTTAAAAATCTGCATAAAGAGTGAAACAACACACGTAGCAGTCAACAAGACAACAACAACAACAACAACAACAACAATAATAATAATAATAATCCTCTTGTGAAGCATCTCAAGATTCATGATGAAAACAAGGCATTCCACAGTTTTCTTAAACGAGCCAGAATGTGGGACAGTCATGTCAGTGTTGATTTTGTTGATGGTTCTGTACTGCCGGACGGTACAGAAATGTGTGTCAACCAAGCGAAGTGCCATATGAAATCGGCCCAGACTCAGTTTTTCAAGGAGAGGCTATCTGAACGACCACTGCATCGAGTTTATGTGCAGTGTGTTGAGTTGTTCAACAACCCTGCAGAGTCCTTCGCGATCGCTTGGATGAAATCGACTGGCCTGAAACAGTGAAACAGAAGGCTTTCTCTTTGCTGCCCAGGACCAGTCACTTCCCACTCGAAACCGTCAATGTGTGATTTTGCATAAAAATGTAAATATGAAATGTCGAATATGTAATGAATTGAATGAGACTGCCCAACACATTGTAAGTGGATACCCAGCTTTGGAACAAGCACAGTGTCTTAAGCGACATAATGGAGTGGTTCGATCCTTTTATTGCCATCTTCGCCATGCTGTCCAGGCCAACAAACCTGATCTTGTCTTTTTTCCTAAATCCAATGAAATCATTCATATTGTTAAATTTCCTCTCCCTTTTGAGAAGTCCCATTTGCTGTCTGAGCTTGACTGTACAGGATCACACAAACCCTCTTTTGCTGCATTTTTATTCTATAAATAATAATTATAATAATGATACTAACAACAACAACAACAACAACAACAACAATGTGTTTGTATACAGCTCATATTCCTGCATATGGCATATGCCCTATGCGCTACCCAAAACGCGTTATTGATATAATGCTACTTATAATGCACTAAGAAGCACTTATGCCTCTCCAAGCTCGGCGATGTGGTCCTCTGGAAGACAGTTAACATCATGCCACCCAACATTGTGTAGTTGATAATATTGATTAGCTCTTAAGTGTTTAGATGTACTTGTTTCAGGTTGCATAATTCACCTCAGATACATTGATCCTTCCTAACCTCTGTTTTAGATAGATTCATCTCATCAGGGAGCGTTTCTATTTCTACCCGATATCCCAGCTAGGAATGCTCTAAATTTTGTTGACCGAGCAATATCTTCGCGCCGGGTAGGGGTATGGTATACATTAGCAGTTGTATGAATGGCATAGATAGTAGACTGATTATCAGTACTGTTTGTAGGTTATGAACTTACGTACAATCTTCCCCTCTCTCCATCCTCCACGCTTCCTGTCAAAATGACATAAGCAATGACGATTTGTTCTGAAGATTTCATAGATTTATACCAGCAGTTCGTTGATTGCAATCACAAACGTATCATAACCGTAAACAGAAACGCATGAAAGAAGCCTCTGCCTGGAGAAATGGGGGACAAAAAAGTGGAAGGGTGTTTTTCCGTTAACAATATGTGGGTATAGTCATGACCGAAATACATCAAGCCATCCACCCTGCACCTACCCAAATACAGTCGACTGGTTCATAAAGGTGGGTATCATCAAACAAGAACGCTTCAATATTCTGGATAATCGAACAGTGTCAAACGAATCTCGGTGTACAGCAGGTGAACAGAGAAAATTGGTTTTATCCGATATTAGCATATGGGATGAAATCATTTTTTGAACAGAGGCTTTGTGATACAAGTCAGAAATTCATCAAAACTCAGAATTCAACCATGAAATTAACAACGTTAGGACTGACATCGCTGCTGTTGTAAGAGGGGGTCTTAAGTTATCTGACATCAAAATTAACCATGTCGAAAGAAAAGCATCTAAAACAGAATCTAAAGTTGGTGATGTTATTGCCACACGTCCATTAAAGGACGATAAACATACCACCCTTAAGACAAAGTCTAGGCTTAATACGCCTAGAAATGTAAGGATGTTTATATTATACCATACACTACTTCCAGTCAGTTACGTCAAATGCAGAACTTGAGAACCATAATTAAAATATTTGGCGGGGATAAGGCGTAGATAACAGAGTCATGCCAGGGAACAAACAACGCTTCAACAGACAACTACGAGGAAAGACAACGTTCAAGTAGCCATGATAAACGTCAGTCACGCTCGACTGGTCAGTATAATTGTTTTTAACAACGAGCAGTGAGGACGCGACGATAACCGACACCAAGACGACTGGTAACAACCATGTCAACCACGAGTAAATGGAAATAGTCGAGGAAGAGGTCGTTGGGGGTTTTGGGTAGGAAATAGGTATCTAAAGGTTTGGGGAATGTTACTGGCTGGAATGAAGATTCCACCAGGGAAGACGGAGATGTGCATGTTTAGCGGAAAAGATCTTTGATATTGTAGATGTTGCCGAAACACACCTCAATGTTGAACATCGTGTAATGGTACCTTGATATGTATGGTTCGGGCAAAGCGGAACTAACATTTTTCGAAAAGCAAAATGTTCTTCACGTGGAATCCAAATTTCGAGTTTTTTTAAATAGACTTGACACAACGAGAAAATAATCGAAATAACGAGAAAGTAATGGAAATAATGAGAAAATAATCGAAACAACGAGAAAAGAATCGAGTTTTTGAGATAAACTTGAAATAACGAGAAAATATTCAAAGTAACGATAAAAAATCGTTATTTCGAGCAAATACTGGAAATAACGAGAATATAATCAAAGTAACGAGAAAATACTCGAAATGTCGAGAAAATAAAGGAATTCAAAGGAAATTTCGATTTAAAAAAATAAATTAATGCTAACTAAGTGGCATCATTAGGCTTTCGTAGAAGTGCACGTCACAATGTTAATGTCCTGTAACTTGAGAAGCGCCCAGCAAAACACTGATGCGGTGTTACCCAATTTCGTTAAGAAACCGGACTGTTCGGGAATCTACCTGGTGATCAGTGCACCTGGCCCCTGTAGAGTAACAGTGTTGTGGAGGACGAGGGGCATGTTGCTATCCAATTCATGACGATTTTCGGTTTAATTTTTGTCAACACGCATCTTAAATACACCCATCTTATATATTTTTTCACTTTTAGAACATTTTAAAATCATGTTTAAGGTCTAGTAACGATATGCAAAATAAATGTTTTTAGCCAAAATTAGTTTAAAACGTCGTAGGAACCTGTTTAGTATTAATGCATAAATAGTTGTACATAATTTACTAATAATATTCTGTCATAATTCCATAAAGAATGGCTAATTTATAAATATAATAATATGTACTATGTATTGTTAATTGGTTGAGGCTTCTATATAATACACGCCCGTCGGAAAATTCTGTTTTTGACTGGAGTGAGTGAGTGAGTATGGTTGTACGCCGCTTTTAGCAATATTCCAGCAATATCACAGCGGGGGACACCAGAAATGGGCTTCACACATTGTACCCATGTCGGGAATCGAACCCGGGTCTTCGGCGTGACGAGCGAACGCTTTAACCACTAGGCTACCCGACCGCCCCGTTTTTGACTGGAAGAAAAGAGGGATGACTTCAGCTTTTCAAATAGTCAACTTTATGTCGAGCAATATTCCAGAAGCTCCCGCCTTTAGTGTTTACACTTCACAAAGTTTGATTAACAATCGAGCTTACTTTTTCTCCGAAGATATCAAAGAGCCTTCATAACACAGTTGTTTGATCAGGGTTAACATTCAAAACCTTAGCAAAGCTTCAACAAGTTATATGATAGACGATGTGAAGGACATTTCCAAATTTGTCGCATCAGTGACCATAATGGTGGAAATATCCGATACACTTCCCCATATTAACTTGTATGGTTACAATGTGTGAAGGCCATTTCTTGTGTTGCCCGTCGTAATATTGCTGTAGAGCTACGTAAAATCATACTCACTCACTCACTCGTTCACTCACTCACTTGTACTTTGTGTTCGGATGTTTGTTCAAGTGAACAATTGACTTGTCTTTGTAAGTGTTTGTGATAGTGCCACCTTTTCGCGAACACTTGCTTTCATCACCATTATATAGTGATCAATAAACACATGCTTATGATACAGTCGGATTCGCACAATGGACTCGGCTTTCAGCAGAAAGTTCTCATGATTACGAATATTTGGTAGATTTAAACTGTATTTTGCATTGAATGAAACGCTGTGACGGGACATCGATTTTTACGAAAGCCCTAATTGCTTTCCGTTGTAGGAAAATGTGTTATGATCTTGCAGGGATCAAATATTTGTATCTACTGAAACACAGATTTTATCAATAAGCAATGCAAATAATGACACAGTTGTTTGGAACACATAATATAGAACTTAAACTAAGACACCTCAAGAATATTAATTTTGAAAATGGATCATATAAAAAAAAAAAGTTGTCCGGCTTAAAAATTAATGTAGATAAGACAATAGCAATATGGATAGGCTCAAAAGCGGGTAGCAATGATCGATTATGTCAAGATTTACAAATAGAATGGCACAATAAGGAATTTGAAGTACTAGGAATTATGTTTAATCCAAACTCAGGTGAACTCTGGATAATCAATACAAATGAAGTAATAAATAGTTTGCTTGCAAATTGGAGAAAAAGAAATAATAGAAAGAAAAAAACAGTAATAAAAACTTACAATTTTGTCTCAAAAATAAAAAAGACAAAATATAAAAGATCACATTGACAAGAAAATCTGAGGAGGGTGGATAACGTATGGTTAACAGTAGAGCCTTTATTGACGCATTAAAACTATCTCCTCTCAGATTATAGATACACTTTTAAATCTAACGTTAACAAAAAATGGTCACTTATATTCTCAGCATATAATTCTTAGCTCTCTGTTGATACATGCTATGTTTGAGTCTGTGTGTGTTGCAACCTTTTTAGTGTTCTTAACAATAAAAACGAAGAAAAAACCCAAAACCCAACAACCCTCCCCCCAAAAAACAAAAACAAAACAACAATCCAAACAAAATAAAAACAAATAAAAACAAAAGCCAAAACAACAACCCAAAAACCAAAACCAAACAAAAACAAAAACAACAACAACCCCTCCCCCCCCCCCCAAAGAAAACCACCACAAAACAAAACAAACCCACAAAACTAAACTATACAAAAACAACAAAAAGTTTATGGCTTTCGAAACCGTGACACAACAGACTTTCTTGAAATCAATGTACTTTCATGCTGTGCATAGATGTTGCAATTCCCTCATTTGCAGTGCCTTTTGTAGATAATCAACGAACCGGTTTTTAACCAGTGAATCCATTTGAAAAGTACGAGCTATTGTATTGCTCTCTGTGAGAAGACAGTATGGTTTGAGATCAATCATATTTACCAGTCTGTTAACAGAGAGAACCAGACAATATACACCATAAAGTAAATAATTACAATTACTCAACACACTTGAGTCATCTTTACGAAACATATTTGTTCCGTCTATATATATAATTAGATTCACGAAATTTAAACATAGTTATTCAAAACCAATTTGCTCCTCGGCAACACAGCATATAATATCATTTCCACATATATCCACATATAGTCGGATTCGTACAACGGACTCTGCTTTTAGCAATGATTTTATTCGGCATGGATGATTTTTTTTCTTGTGTATAATTCAGTGATAAATCATCTCGCGTGAAATTCTAAAACATGATCTCAAAAACTGATATTATGTCTTCCCGGAAATGGCGGGAAGAAATATAATGTCCTCATGTTTTACAAAACCAAAATGAATATTTCTAGAAAATAATGTGTCGTTGGTTCCCTTGAATCGTTGGCGACTCCTTTCAGAGAACAGGATCAGTTAAAGAATACTTCGTTTTAAGCAACCTACATCTGTGCCTTCAGCAAGCATAAGCATGTATAGGGGCGGTCGGATAGCCTAGTGGTTAAAGCGTTAACTCGTCACGCCGAAGACCCGGGTTCGATTCCCGACATGGGTACAATGTGTGAAGCCCGTTTCTGGTGTCCCCCGCTGTGATATTGCTGGAATATTGCTAAAAGCGGCGTAAAACCATACTCACTCACTCACTAAGCATGTATAGATGCTTTGTGTGCGACGAAAGCCAGGGTGAATGGATTTGAGGAAAGGCCTCTCAAAATATATTATTATAAACACAATCTATACAAGATTTTATCAGATACATGGAAAAAATACAGTATTGTTGTTTGTAAGTAAACTTTTGATATATTTTAGATTCGTCAACACTACAACGATGCAGTCGCTGCTGTTGGTGATTGTAAGCAGCTATTTGCTGCAGGGACCGATGAGCCGGGTACTTCCACCGACAGAGGCGGCAACAGCTCTGCCCATCAACATCACTGGTTAGTGGACACGTGGGAAAAAACCAGTGTATATGTTGTCGTCCGCTAGGAGTGCTAGGTTAACGCAGAAACAATGGTGACATCAGTACTGAACATATTAAAGCACAGCTTAAGCTCCAGCCAATGCACAGTCCCGCTGGAACTGCATGTACCCAGAGGCTTACGGGGCTTACACAGTAGAAAGAGGAAAATGCCGTTTGCGCGACTCGTTCACTATAGATACACAGATATACTAATCGTAGAACTCGAATATGGTCCCTGCTCTTAGATATGAAGAAGGCTCGTGGGAGTACTTATCGAGATAAAAGGAACAGGTGGAACAACAACAGGGCTTGTCTGTATCTTTATATAACGACATAATACTGTCCCTCGTTCTCATCTGTAATAGGTAAATTGAAATAGTGTTCTTGTTATGTTAGAAATAAGAAATACGGGCATAGAGAAACATTGTTTTATTTTCAAGTATAGTGGTTTTATTGTCTCCGTAATGTTTTGTGATTTAGTGACCACAATAAGTAAAACGCGTATATGGTGTTTTTATTGTGTCCACAATAAGTAAAACGGGTATATGGTGGTTTCCTTGTGTCCACAATAAGTAAAACGCGTATATGGTGGTTTCATCGTGTCCACAAAAAGTAAAACGCGTATATGGTGGTTTCATTGTGTCCACCATAAGTAAAACGGGTATATGGTGGTTTCCTTGTGTCCACAATAAGTAAAACGCGTATATGATGGCTTCATTGTGTCCACAATAAGTAAAACGCGTATATGGTGGTTTCATTGTATCCACAATAAGTAAAACGCGTATATGGTGGTTTCATTGTATCCACAATAAGTAAAACGGATATATGGTGGTTTCATTGTTTCCACAATAAGTAAAACGGGTATATGGTGGTTTCATTGTGTCCACAATAAGTAAAACGCGTATATGGTGGTTTCATTGTGTCCACAATAAGTAAAACGCGTATATGGTGGTTTCATTGTGTCCACAATAAGTAAAACGCGTATATGGTGGTTTCACTGTGTCCACAATAACTGAAACACGTATATGGTGGTTTCATTGTGTCCACAATCAGTAAAACGCGTATATGGTGGTTTCATTGTGTCCACAATAAGTAAAACGGGTATATGGTGGTTTCATTGTGTAAGTAATAAATGCAACGGGTATAGAGTGGCTTAATGTGTCAGTAATGAGTATATAGAGGTATTCAATGCCAATTTGCCAAAAGGGTTGCTTTGGCAAACAGAAACAATTGTCACCTTATGTCTGTCGTAAGCATATCTGTGTGTAGAAACAATGATTGCGTTGCGTCAGTTATCGGCAATACGGCATATTGAAATAATTTCAGTCAGTAATATTCGCCATTCTTATTCTAACCTATGACATTCAGCTGAGCCAGAAACGACTTCTGAACCGGAAACAACTGCTGAACCTGAGACAACCTCCGAACCGGAAACCACAGCAGAGGCCGAGACAAGCGCAGAACCCGAAACAACTTCTGAACCGGAAACCACAGCAGAGGCCGAGACAAGCGCAGAACCCGAAACAACTTCCGAACCGGAAACCACAGCAGAGGCCGAGACAAGCGCAGAACCCGAAACAACTTCTGAACCGGAAACCACAGCAGAGGCCGAGACAAGCGCAGAACCCGAAACAACCTCCGAACCGGAAACCACAGCAGAGGCCGAGACAAGCGCAGAACCCGAAACAACTTCTGAACCGGAAACCACAGCAGAGGCCGAGACAAGCGCAGAACCCGAAACAACCTCCGAACCGGAAACCACAGCAGAGGCCGAGACAAGCGCAGAACCGGAAACCACAGCAGAGGCCGAGACAAGCGCAGAACCCGAAACAACTTCCGAACCGGAAACCACAGCAGAGGCCGAGACAAGCGCAGAACCCGAAACAACTTCTGAACCGGAAACCACAGCAGAGGCCGAGACAAGCGCAGAACCCGAAACAACCTCCGAACCGGAAACCACAGCAGAGGCCGAGACAAGCGCAGAACCCGAAACAACTTCCGAACCGGAAACCACAGCAGAGGCCGAGACAAGCGCAGAACCGGAAACCACAGCAGAGGCCGAGACAAGCGCAGAACCCGAAACAACTTCCGAACCGGAAACCACAGCAGAGGCCGAGACAAGCGCAGAACCCGAAACAACCTCCGAACCGGAAACCACAGCAGAGGCCGAGACAAGCGCAGAACCCGAAACAACCTCCGAACCGGAAACCACAGCAGAGGCCGAGACAAGCGCAGAACCCGAAACAACCTCCGAACCGGAAACGTCGGGGGAGCCTGAGGGAACCAGTGAACCTGTGAGTGAAAAGGAGGCGGTTCCTGAAACGAGGCCATCAGTGGCAGAAATTGTCATTCCTCCATTTGCTCTCATGGTGGTTATAATATTCGGTAAGTAAAACAATACGGAATAGATAGCCTAGGAATGTGTAGCGTATATGTATTACAGATGGAAACGAATAAGGGAACAATGAAAAATATAGGGAAATTAGCTTTACTGTCAGTATATTTGAAATAGCGCACATACAAATTCTACACATGTAAGCATCAAATGTCGGTATCTTGAGTGTCCCCCATGTCTACGGTTGACATTTGGTAGACAAAGCTTGGAACCTATGACAGCATATACCTCTTCTGAATCTAAAGTTCGGTGTTCCCTTATTCATTTTCATCAGTATATTTTGAGGCATTCCATTTTCTACACGTCCTTTGAAGTTCACAAACCTCGAAAAGAAAATCATCGGTTTGACGCATTTTGTCCGGGTTCATGAATGTCGAATGAACTTCATATTCTGAAACACAAAGAGCTTACACCTGTATAAATCAGTAAGTATCTTTGATGTTTTTATGTAGTGTTGAAAACGCCTCATCCTTCATAATTCTGTTTGAAACAAATGGTTATATTATTGCAAATATTGCAGGGAAAACCTCAGGCTTTGAAAAGTCCGTTTATCCCTTCGTACGACGTTTAGTTCACAAGTGGGTAAAACACAATTAATAGTCCATCTCAAGGGCTTTTTAGATGTAGTTCACATTGATCAATATAAATGACCCATTTCCATGTTTCTATGACTTGGATCCATTAAACTGTTTATACCTAGTTGTGAAGCGAGATGGAGGTACGAAACATATACAGCATATATTTAGATTACAGTCCAGGGGGGGATACTTAATGAGGATATGGGACTAATTATATTTGGGATCTTGTATCATTCTTGGGATATGTCTTCAAATAATTATATCTAATTATAAGAATGTACAGCAAATGTCAATCATGACCTAATCTTCCTGCAGGTCTCGTGTTCCTCGTGGTAAAGGCGCGTTTCACAGCCGTTCCTTCCACTCTAGTCAGCATGGGTAAAACCGCTATGAGAGCAATGTGGCTTCAAAGGGCCAAAGTATCCTGTGAACTGAAACCAAAAATCATCAGCATGGAGAATAACAACCAGGAAAAACTCGTGAAGGATGCCGACGACGAATTCCTTACACCCTTTGACATTGAGGTCATCGGTAGCCTCAGAACCTCCCACAACCGACCACTGGAACTAATTCGAATCGCACTTCCGGCAGTACTCTCCCTTGCTCTTTGTCCTCTGACTCTGTACCTCTATGAACCCTTCACCTTGTTTCTGTGGCCCAAAGACCAATACGCAACTCCTCCTGACATCAACGACGCCATTGCCTGTTTTCTAGCTCCTGCTGGACTGGTGTATGCAACGTCGTTTGGCTTTGCCTTCCAGTCCGCTCTCAACAAGCAGCACGAGATCCTCACTAAGATGACAGAGGAGATGAGCATGATAGATCACATAGCAACATTTACTACAAAGATTCGACTGCCCAACAAGAAGCTGAGGCTTGATATCTACCGGGCAATAAAAGCTGAGGCTATATTCATGGTATTGCAACTTCTGGACAGGGATCCATCATCATATGTCAACAAACCTAAGGAAGACGTGAGAGGTAGGATACTTCAAAGACTTTTATAAAATAATACGTGTGCTTCTTGTCCTAAATCCCGAGGTTGTATTAGTAACTCATTGATTATTGTGATCCAGTTGTTTGTGTGTTTGTTGTTTAACGCCGCACTGCGCAATATTACAGCTATATGACGGCGGTCTGTAATGAGTCTTGACAAGACATTCCAGTGATAGACATCATACCAAATCCCAGTTATACATGTATTCCCCACTCAGAAACAATATACTGTCTGCGAGCCGACCAACGACGAGCGCCAGGCAGGGTAAAAACAAGTACCATATTTCAACGTCTTTTGGTATGATGCGGTTAGGGATAGAACCACCGACCTCCGCTCTAAGAACATACATTCCATCCACTGCGGTTATATGTACAATAGAAGTAATCAACGTGTCTGATACCTTCCCGTACATAAAGGCCATATACATTTAAATACACTTGGTGATTTTCTTGTGCTGCGGATGTTGTGGGATGAGGGAATCCTTATTAGTTAGTGTGACCGTCTCCGTGGTCTAGTTGTAGAGCGTCTGCCTGGGTAGCGGAAGGTCGGGGATTTGATCCCTGGTCGCGTCATACCAACAAACTTTCAAAGATGGTACTTGCAGTTACCCTGCCTGGCGCTCGGCATTTTAGGGTTCAAACAAGGCTGGTCGGTTCGGAGTCAGTATACTTTGTCTGAGTGGGGTATAAATGTTACACTGTGGCATGGTATCTTAGTCGGCTGGCACTTTATATTCCGCATTAGTTCGGACTAGTACAAGCAGTCACACACGTACATGCACGTCGCTCTATAAGTGCAATAATCTTGGCCTCGACGTTAAACCATATTTCACCTCACCACCTCATTAGTTTGTGATAAGATGTTCATAAAAAAGTTGAAAAATGCACAATGCTTTACGATTGGCTGCCGAATTCCAGTGATATATCGATGCTGTAATAAGTATATGGTAGCAAATCCATATTAATGACTGCCGTTTATGTGAAAACATATGTTTAATGTCATAACGGTCGATACATAAATTCATTCTGAAAATGAATGCACGATACATCTTGTAGACTTGCAACACCAATACGCCATCAGAATATCCAATACAAAATGACAGATAAACAATCACGGGTGGAACAGTAGTATTAACATGTTACCCTGTTATCCTGCTAAACTATCATGGATAAGTTACCATCTCATCGATTACAGCAGAACACATTGGTTTGTTTGAATACGAACACCGTTATACAAAACATCAGAACCTTGCGCCCTCCCTTTATCAGAAAGCAAAGAACAAAACAACTATTGAATAAACTGCATCCAAAATCTACCGAACAAAAGGTTACTTTTGTTCAATATGTTTTGGGATATGTTTTGGGAGAGAAAACTGAGCACACCATTTCATGAAAGTATCCAGAAAAATATTCATGATCCGTATCATTTTTCTGTTCAATGCACAAACATGGAAATCACGTAATTTACGTAGTTTGCTGTGCGATAAACAAATGTCTTGGCATGGACATGTTCAAGCATCAATGAACCAAGTTTCGCTTTGTTAGTATTTCAATATGGAATCACAGATGCGTACCATGTGGGGCAATTGTCGTCAAACACCTCGTATCTGCGACGCTTTTTGGTAGTGCATTAACAAAACTATTAGTTCAGGCACAGTTTGGACGTGTAAAGACAACGACAAACACAACAACAATCATAACAATAAAGCATCCAATATTGTCATTGAACAGGAATACGTACACTAAGGTACTATTTACAATGTTGACGCAACTGTCAACAACTTTCAATTCAAACGCAACGGCAACAAAACAACTGAATGAGCACGAGCATTGCGGTATTATGATTCACTTGACGTGTCTAAGATTTATTTCTCCAGAGACAATGCAGCCGTGCGTTTTAACGTTGTCCATAACATGTATATTTCTTGAACTTTTGACCCCCTGTCCATGACTACAGCCTATTTGGAACTCTGATCGCTGCCGTAATTTCTTTGTCCCCTCATGATAATAACTCTATATTCTTTCACTACAACCAGACGCATGTGTTATGTACGATATGGGCATGCCTCAGTCAACACGGTGTCAACCGCACAGATGTTCCACCTAATGTTTAGTGATCGATATCAATCATTGAACACCCATGCCCACCAACCCTGATTTATATGTTATTGATGGGTGGTTTCCAGGTATACCCGTAATTCTTGTTGATTTCCCATATAACTGCATTATGGCTATCATAGAATTGAATTGATATTACATTAGAAAATCGAGCTGATCATGTCAATAAGTCTGACACTCTATTCCCATGTGTGTAATCTAAGTGATCGATGTGGACGTTCAAAGAACACATCTTGCTGTGTGTCGTAGGGTCATTTGCGGAGCACTATACAGCTTAGGTTATCAATACTGTTTATTTATCGTTTAACACTTTTGCAAGAAGCGCAGACTCCTGGTAAGTGTTTCAGCGTCTGAGACAAAGTGCTAAGCCTACAAGGTTTTCAAGCGGCATGGTTGAAGTGCTTGTCTTTATCTTTTTAGAAGGGTGGCAATATTGCTGAAACGTTGCCCATGCAACGACAAATTTTAATTTACGTGATATCCAGAATTATAGACCAGTAGCTATAACAAATCTCAACACAGTCGGTGGCCATAACCATGGACCTAACTTAGGCCCGTGCCAAAACGTAGCTTTGAGTATTGACCCCTACTACGCTATGAACAAGAATTACTTTTGTCAGCATATGTTCGATAATGCAATAATTATTGCTTTGAAAGACAACAATGATTTAAAGGTTTTAACTTTTTATCTATTACGTCCAAAAGAAAGCAACATTAACGTCGCCCTGGATTTTTTACAATCATGATGATACCATAAATCTGTCTATTATTATCGGCTACTAGTTCTTATGTCACATATCCTCAGTGACGGAGTGATGTGGTTTAACTCTCGAGGATCCAGAAATCAAGACATATGCCATAACACCCTCAATGCCTTTCGGCCATGCATGTCCCTACACAAAACGCAGCCTCACGAGACCCTGGAATAACCTAGAGCTCGTTTTTATGGTACGAATGTTAGTAAATGTAGGTTTTTATTTCAAACACGGAATGTCACTGTTTCGTAAATATCAATCTGAAACTTATACCGTTGTTCCATAAGTCGCGTGTGTGGTAATAAGATATAAAAAAAAGTTAGTCGAGTGAAAATAACACAGTGTTAACTCTTATGAGAGAATGGTGCTGACGGTAATTGCACTGCGAAATGCGACATACTTTACACTGTGTACAAAAAACCAGAAAGATTATATGATAATCTGAATCACTCGTTTTTGTTGTTGTTTCAGTCAAAATTTGGTCTGTAGTAGACATTCTGCGACAAGTGGATACGGACAGTAAGCATCACGTGGACAGAGTGCTACTCGAAAAAATAATCAGTAACATCGTATTTCTCAACAGCGTTTGTTCCGACCGGATGGGTATTCTTCACGCACGGATACATCCGCTGAAGTAAGTACCCCTGTGGATATATCAGGTCCAATGTCGTTCTGATCGATACAGCTGCACAATCACAAATATGAGTGAGTGAGATGTTACGTCACTTTAGCATTATCTCGGCAATTACACGGGCTTCACATAGTACGCCTGTGGACAATCGAAAACCGGGTCGATGCAAACGCAATACTCCACGCACTCCACTGGACTACTCCATTACACCTCTCCTCACTCATTGAATCAAGACCGTATATGCATATTCACAAAATGTAGCAAACATGACTTGTACATGTACAAACATATATATGATTCATATAACGCCCATATATAACGCCTTGGCAACCATTACTGTCAGCTGAAGTTGACGTTATTGAATATGTCATCCACCCTAATGAAAGTGACTGTCGGAAATCTAAGATTAAATTATCGTTAAACAAATATTATTAAAATTTGCGTTGACCCTCTGTTTAACAATTCGAAAAATATTATGTTTTACAATGATATTGATAATGTAAGTATGTACACTTCATCAATCCGCCAAACCGTATTTCATTTAGTTCATAGCATGAGGCAGTTTAAGACAGTTTAAGGCAAATTCATTATGCTGATGAAATGCGATTCTCTTCGTTTCGGTTTATGGCAGGTGCGCTTGTTTCTTCTTTATGTTCCTTCTGATAATATATGAATTAGTAGTCAGCATTACATGTCATTAAAGTTACCGTTTTTGTACTACTTTGAATACAAGTATTGACATTTCTCGGCAAATCCAATGACAACCTCATATGTTGATGGAAAACGCAAATGGAAGACATTGCAGGAACATTGCATAAACAAGTTCAGCTACAGTCAAACACCATTGTGCCGAACTTAAAGGGACCTACGTAATACGAGTTACCCGAGGCTCGACAAGAATGAATATGCAGCGACCAAGCTTTTACTTCGAAACAACCATTCGACACATCAAACACAACGATAAAATAGTCTTTTTTCCACATCAGAATTCTTTTTTCATATTTAGCGTATCATTACTTTATCAAGCATATTCAGGGCACATGTGTGATATAACGCTACACAAATGCTTAGCTCTATAAATGTTCTCTGATTCTTTTCACTGTACAAGTTTCTCTCTCTCTGTGCGAACATTACTTCTTCCTTCAGATGGGCGTTCCTGGAGACACTGGGCTTCTTCTCCTTCATAGGAATCCTTCTTCTCCACGCATACTCCTACCGCATGGAACTTGTCATGTGCATCATCACCGTCTTCTCCATCAGCATGCTGTGCTACGTCGTGTCTGACCTCGACTCGCCATTCAGCGGCTTCTTCAGGGTCGACCTCTCCGTCTTGGAGGTGGTCATCGAGAGGCTGGCTGCCATGTACGAGCTGGCGAAGATGGGGCACAGCAACTTGGTCTTCTATCCGGAGAAGCAACCAACTAGCGTTAACAAAGCCTCGGAGTACACGAAAACGAAATCCGACAGGGAGAGAGTCCAAGCATGGTAACGCAGTATGGCATGACACCATTACCATTTCGTAAGAATAGACAGAATAAACATCAGCCCATGATTTTGGAGATGGGAATACAATGATTTTGTTGATACATAAAGTGAAACTGTGCCGTGCTGGAAAATCAATAACGTGCACGTACAATTCAATTTGTAAAGACTGGAAACGACTGGCCTGTTACAGCTGGCATTCTGTATGTGTAGTAAATACTGACTAGAGATCCACTAGAAAGGGCATCAAGCAGGCTTATACCAGTGTCACCGTCTACACTCTGAGTGACTACTTCAATTAAGGAATACATCAGTACTTCACGTTATAGGTTCCACGTGCCCTTTCATCCAGCTTGTTTGTGTCACAGAACAAAACATTGTATTGGGACATTTTAACAAAGGGATTGTGCGAGTATTGTGTTGTGTTAAAATGTAAAATGTGGCCGACGGTATGTGCACATCCTTAGCAGATTTTACTTGTAGAAATGAAAGGCATCAACTCATATGGAAGATGCAAGGAGGAATTCTGCGGCGTGGAAGTAAACACTCACAATCAATTGAATACTATTAGATTGATACAAGAGAGAGAGAGAGAGAGAGAGAGAGAGAGAGAGAGAGAGAGAGAGAGAGAGAGAGAGAGAGAGAGAGAGAGAGAGAGAGTTTATTTACTTACTTGTCACGCGTTACAGTTGTCAAAATTAATAGTATTTCTTATCGTGATAATGCTGCCTTGTTGCGGCGTTGAAGGAAAGAGTGTATGTATCTGATGTGACGTGGTAGTCGGTAAGACGTATCATCTATGGAAGGGATGTCATGAGTCTGTGTTCAAAGCGAAGGTATGCATGTATATGATGAGAGGTAGGAGACAGAAGATAACCTTATGTAGAACATACGTAAACGGTTATGTAACTCATGACAACACTTTCAGAACGCAGAGTTTCACTATGAACTATGTATTTGATGTTTACTGCAGTAATTTTGAATACCCTTCTTGTAATACCTCGCATATTGTGGTAAATACATTTGTATATATTTGTTGATAGACTGTTACAATGTGTGTATAATACATATACATCTTAACGCCACCCATCATCACACTGACTGTGATATGGAAAAAGATATTCTATGTCATTCATTTGATTAGAACGATGCTTTCTTTGTAAATGCACTTTAAAAACTATTTTTTTGCCTTTGTGTATTCGTTATCATATACTACCACTACCAATATACTATTACCTATTATGCTAAATACTCTCTTGTAGAAATACGCCTATTGGAAAGATAGGTTGGATCTCAATTGCCCTTGAAGATTCAATGTGAATTCTTGATGATATATATTGTCAGACGAATTTTGCGTGTATTCGAGACGCTTATCTTTTCTTATCGCCTAAACACATTTGTCCCCCATTTTACCCCACGTTCTGGATTCCAGTTGCTCACGTCCGACAAAAAGAGGAACAATCAGAACGGACGAGGACAACACATTAATTAATAGGACACCCCATTGGAGCAAACAACAGAACAAAACAATAGACGTTGTTTTTCTCGTAGAATTAAAAATAACATCCTCAATGAATTCGGTGAAGATGTACTTTTTCTATGTCGTGCATCTCGATTCATACGCACAAACAAAAGGGGTAGGCCAGATAACAACGTCCGCATGCTGCCAGCTGAGGTCACATTGAAGCAAGAAAGAGTTCTTCACTGGATTTGTTATCAGTCGAGGGTACTTGTCATCTTCGGCAGAACACAAGCTGTGTCGTCACAGGCGGCACACAAATTAAACTTGGAAGTAAGACTTGGGAAAATGCTTCTCGGCCTTTTTAAATGAGCTTAGGCCATCTGGTGTGTGTTTCTCATCTTGCCCCGGTCTCGCAGTGACCACACTCCTACGAACAGACTATCCGTCGGACATTGTTTCCTAGGATTTTCAGTCCCGGACATTCAGTACCAAGTAACAATGCCCCAGGGCTACTAATACTAAGGAATCAATGTCCTTGACTAGACTTGACTAATGTCATATAAGTGTCGTTTATGTTCTTGTACATAATGTCCCCTTCCTTCCTATAAAACAAATGTCAGTGCCAACTAATTCTTCGAGGTGTATCTTAGACATTCAGATGTTTTAAATACATTAATTGAAATCAAAATAGCTAATGTATTTATAGCTCACAGAGAGTTCTGCAGCATTAATGACAACACACGGTGATACATTGTAAGTTTGCATCAGTACAGGTATATAACTACACGTGGTAACATACTTTGTCAGCTGTCGATGTTTCAGCCTCCCATCAAACAAATGTATAGTTTTTAACTCATTCATCCTTTACTTTTAATCATCGGCAGAACATATATTCATTTGAATTTTCATAAACCCACCATAACAAAATATATTTGAAATTGTCCTCACAACCTATAATTGCACAAATTGACTTTAAAATCATCTTACTGAAAACAGCTCCTGTCAGTGGGGTTTAGTTTTACGTTTCTTTTAACCATGATTCTTTCCTCTCAATGTTGCCGGTGTCGTCAAAGGTATCAAAATGAAAATAAAATTCAGTCCACAACGCTGAAAATGCTGTATAAAATGTATTTCAGAAATGAGAAAGCATACATATGCAATCGAACATACAGGGACGACAAACCAACACGAACCATTCTCACTTCTTCACAGATCTGCGTCTCACTTCAACACCAGCGTACAGAAATACACAAAATATTCACACGACATGGATCGTTTTACATGTTTCGACTTTATCTTCATGGAGAAGTGTATATATATATATATATATATATATATAAATATGTTTGTGTATATACGAAACTTAGTACAATTACAGCTAATCTTTGGATATACACACACACACGTCTTTATACCTAAACAAGTCTCAAGTGTACCATGTGAACATAAACGCAACTTTAAATGTACAAATAGGAACAAAATGATTGATTTGTTATTTTTTTAAAGGAAGATAACATTTTGTTCCATATTAAATGGGTGATTTTAAAACGTATCCATTTAATGCTTACAGCTAAAGCCGAGTGCTGGTGTTTGAAAAACACACAATAGATAAATTATATATATAACGTATAATCACTTTAATAACATTTATAATATCGACCTCCGACCAAACCATTTGAAACTTGACACATGTGTTTCGGCCATACACACAGAGGGGTCGTTTAATCGAATGGTAACCTTGATTTATTACTTCTTCTGTGTTTTAAGCTAACCGGTGATAATAGAGCTGTGCTATACCATGTATGCAATCATCACCAATCTATCCGCGTGACTAAGCAATATATGCGCAGTGTTCAATGTGTGATATAGCCTACAGTTGTAGCATCAATATAATCAGGCCAAAGTCATAATTGAAAATACTCAAACAAGTCTTCATCTCGGCTTAATAACCAGCCTACAGAGGCCACTCCCATGTTTGTCATTGTGTTAAGGTGTGAGAAGGTATTGTTGATTGGGGGGAAAATGCCGTGTCATGCAGAGTGATCGAATTTTGTGAAATTGTGATTGAGAGAGAGAGAGAGAGAGAGAGAGAGATAGATAGAGAGAGAGAGAGAGAGAGAGAGAGAGAGAGAGGGGGAGAGATTATTTACTTTCACGCGGTACAGTTGTCAAACTTAATAAAACAATGAGTTGGTTACATGTAAAACCTATAAACGTAGCCCCGCCACAAAGCTTAGGAGACACAGTATCAGCATTAACACAACAGAGAGCGAGTTATAAAAATTTGCAAACATACATTCGAACTACATCCCAAATCTCTAATATGTCACAGGTCATCTATACGTACATCTTGGATTACCGATCGTATTATGTCTCCATTTTATTATGATAATTACTCAGGGCCCATACTCAACAAAGCCTGGTTCGAATAGCACAATGCTGGACCTTCTAGGGTGATTGATGTAACGTTGTTTTACTTTGTCAGCAGTCGTCCAGCTATTTGACGAGTATGATTAAACACAGCCAGGTAATAAAATGTAACCTGCTGATCCTTATGTGTCGGTTCTTACGACAAGGGTGGGGCATTAGGGAGCTCTCCTGTTTGGAATCACCAAGAGGGGACACGCGTCGTTTACTGTGTTGCTCTGGGTGGCTAGGAATCCCCACGATAAGACACGTGTGGGGGCACTGGGTAGCTAGGAATCCCCACGAGGAAACACCTGTGGGGTACTGGGTAGCACTGGGTAGCTAGGAATCCCCACGAGGAAACACCTGTGGGATACTGGGTAGCTCTGGGTAGCTAGGAATCCCCACGAGGTGAGGTGAGGTGAGGTGAAATTGGGTTTAACGTCGCGTCCAAGATTATTGCACTTATATAGCGACGTGCATGCACGTGTATGTGTGTGTGTGGCTGCTTGTACTAGTCCGGACTGATGCCGATTTATAGTGCTAGCTCACTGAGATACCATGCCGCAGTTTAACATGAATACCCCACTCAGACACAGTATACTGACTCCGAGCCGACCAGTCCTTGTTTTAGCCCCTTAATGCCGAGCGCCAGACAGGGTAACAACAAGTACAATCTTTTAACGTCTTTTTGTATGACGCGGCCCGGGATCGAACCCTGGACCTTCCGCTCTCCGGGCGGACGCTCTACCACAAGACCACGGAGGCGGTCCCCACGAGGAGACACGTGTGGGGGCACTGGTTAGCTAGGAATCCCAACGAGGAGACACCTGTGGGGTACTGGGTAGCTCTGGGTAGTTAGGAATACCCACGAGGAGGCAACTGTGGAGTACTGGGTAGCTCTGGGTAGCTAGGAATCCCCACGAGGAGACACCTGTGGGGTACTGGGTAGCACTGGGTAGTTAGGAATCCCCACGAGGAGACACGTGTGGGGGCACTGGTTAGCTAGGAATCCCCACGAGGAGGAATCCCCACGACACCTTTTGGGTACTGGGTAGCTCTTGGTAGCTAGGAATCCCCACGAGGAGACACCTGTGGGGTACTGGGTAGCTCTGGGTAGCTAGGAATGCCCACGAGGAGACACGTGTAGGGGCACTGGGTAGCTCTGGGTAGCACTGGGTAGCTAGGAATGCCCATGAGGAGACACGTGTGGGGGCACTGGGTAACTCTTCTGCCGGCAATAACGACGGGGAGACAAGTGTGGGGCATTAAGGAGCTCTTGTCCTCGGAATCAGTTGTCTGAATAAATGTGAACCTACGTAGTGTCATTGTTGCTGAAGTTGGCTTCAACTGTGTGCAATAAATGTGACTCTACACAGGACCATTATTGCTGCAGTTTCATATCATTTGACTGCAATAAATGTGAATCTATATAGTGTCATCAATGGTGCAATATATATATAATTACAATAACGAAGGGTCGTGATTATCAGTTGTCTGGAATATATTTGAATTTAAATAGGGTCACTTTTGTCGAAGGTTGGACATCAGTTGTTTGTAACGCATGTGAAATGAAATATGGTTATTATTGTCGTTGGACGTCGGCTTACTAAGACATGTTTAAGTTAAAAGTGACAGCTCTTCAATGCAGTGGATCGGTGAAGTTTGGGTTAACAAATACGCAGAGGACACAGGAAACTTCGATGAACTGTGGTAACAGTGCACAGTGTATCTCCCCGCCACGTGAAACTAATTGCATGTACACGATAACGTCACTGCCGTGGTTGCTACACACTAACTAGCCCACCCTGGTAATCTAACCACTTATATTACCGAACCATTGAAATAAATGATTTTTAATCAGTATGGTAATCTTCCATGACTGAACATTTAGAGGAGTGTGAAACATGGGATAAATCTAAGCCTTGTCATACCATCTTCCCGGGGCAAGTGAGTTAACTGACTTTAAAAGTCGAACGAGGCTGGTATTATGGAGTTACATTTTGGCTGGACTTACGAGTCTACGCATAGTCCAATCAAATTCGCGTAAGGAAATCGAAATCCGGTTCGTAAACTGTCGTGCAGATTTCGGTCGATTGCAGGATTTGCAAAGCATGTGCACCGCTAACTCGGCGTCAACAGCTATTTTCAAAATCTGTTCATGTTTTTAATCAAGGTGCTCACGTGATGTGATGCACTTTGCGATGTAAGACCCGTTTTATCACAACATATGTCTTGATTATTGATCAGATCCTCTTGACTGGGCACCGTCATTTTGTTTGAAGCAAATGCAAGTGATACAAGAGGGCAGAATCTGATTGGTCAATAGGAGAGGCATAGAAGGGACACAACTCCTAATAACCAGTGGTTGCGCTACTATCGAGCCCAGAAATACCAGCCTAACCAGTTAACTCCCTTGCCTCGGGAAGATGTGTCATACACGATTTCAAGGGTACTAAAATCTGTGTCAAATATTCGCAAC